CCTATTTTCCGAACGTCGCAACTTACCACAACAACGACAAACGTTTTCACCCTCCTTCGTAGTCTCACATTCTGCATAATCACCAACTCCACGACATCCCTTCCCCTGTAAGCCCAACTCCGGCTTCCTCCCCAACATCAACACCGACGATATCATTCATAAAAATAAAAAAAACTAAAAGCCTTTTTATTCTCCTGTGACTAACATAAAGTTGATAGTTTCCTGCAAGCCGTAACCTACCTTCTGAACCACGCGATTTACATGAATTCACAATGCCCTCTTCTCAAAGGCCGTGTATTGATTCATCACATACCCTTTGTCATTTCAATTTCTCATATATGTTTCATCACTTATCTTTCCTTCCATCTACCAAAAGTTAGGGCACGCTTTTTTGCTCTGCTTTGTTGTCATTTTTTTGGTCCAAAATGGCCCCCAAACTAGAGAAAACACATTATGTATAAAAAATATACAATATCAAATTACAATCTCAAACGTTGAATTTTTCCGGGCGTCATTAGCAATGATGCCACTTTTATCGAAGATTAGAGACGGACGAATTAGATGACAACGGTGAATTTATTTCCTCTTTCTCTCTACAAATACACTGTCGATGGAGGTTGTTGGTGTTTTTTTGATGGATTTGCAGTTAGAGTGATCTTTGGGAAAAGGAAACCTAACAATGACTCCAGAAAAATAGTCTGCCGTCTTATATTTATGTGATTTTTTTTTTTTTTTTTTGAAATTAGGGATTTTTAATTTGAAAAATGACGAATTTATTGCAGAAGGTAAACGTTTAATTCATCAGTTCAATTTCTTACATAAGTTATATTTTGCATTTAAGGAAATACGAGTTACTAGCGTCCATCTACTTCTTCAACCTATGTTATGATTATTTTTTTTATACATGATAAACGAAGAGGAATGCCCAATGATGATGCAACCCTATTCATATTCCAATTAGGATGATTAAGGCTATCTGTTTTGGACCATTTGTTCATGGAATTGATGCTTATCAGTCTAAGGTATTGTCTTTTTATTCCACTCACAATCCCAACTCCCTTTCTACCACCGCCGCCACCATATCATTCTATCTTCTTTCTTTATTTTAGTTACCAGATCAGTCTCTGATGATAAATAATTCACTGGTCGAACTAGACAAAAAATTATCCTCAGGGGTTGTTATAGCACTGATGATATCTACTTTAATTTGGAACTCACAGTTTGGAAGTAATTGAGCAAAAAGATTGATTATTTTTTCCGCTTAAGTTAGAGAAATTGAGAATATTTTGCTAGCAAAGCCTTCCATTTGCATAAATTTAGTGATGTAGAGAAAAAGATGTGACCGAGTAATTTCATTTGCCTATAAAATTACTCAAATTTCCTGATTTTATCGATAAAACCGAATAGTCAAAAACAAGTTGAACACTATTTGATCTTGGTGGGTTTCTTTTTGAGTTCGGTGGTTGTTGTCATGCATGCTTCTGAATATCCCGAAGAGTTTAGGATTAGGATATATAATATGAAATTTTTTGAAGATGTTCGTCCTTTTTTTATTGTTTATTGCCTCTTATTCATGGTTATTGGTTGAGAGTCTAAGAGAAATGATTAAAAAGTAGCTTTTTTCTATTTGCCCATATGAGTTTTAGCTTTCATGGAAGATTTCGATTTTGTGAAATTAGATTATTAGAATCATCTCTAATAGGTAGTGATTATGGTCCATTCGTTTGAGTTTTAATGTTATACACTTTGAAGATGAAATTCTTCATATGGTTTTTGTCACACAGAAAAAATCCCCAACTGATTGTTGGGCCAGAGTTTAGTGGTTATTACTAATTTGATTTTCATATTTTTATAATCAATTCATTAGTTACTTTCTTCTTTTTGTTTGCACGCTGCTTTGTAGATTGTAGCAGCAACCCTACTAATGAAAGAGTCAGAGAAGTGTTTTTTTTTTTTTTTTTTTTTTTTAATTTTTTTTAATTTTTTTAAATTGTTCTATGCTACTATGTATCTTTGGTTCAAAACCTGAAAATATGTGAAGTAGATGGCACAAGTAAAGAAATCAAAAGCACAACATATATCAAAATATGAAGTAGAAATGCAGAATTCTCCTTGGTTAATGAAAACAACAAGGGAAATTAAACATTAACGACAATCACTCTCACTAAGGATGGGTAATCTTACAGATTTTACTCGGTTGTCAAAGAATCTGCTTAACGATACACATCTTTTTTCTTCACTATGGAAGGTTTAACTAATGTTTTTAAGCTTCCATAAAAAGGTTTTGAGGCTATAAGTTGGATTGTGCAATATGATTGGATCTCTGTTAATAACTCTCTATTTTAATGGGTTAGTTAATGTTAAAAATAGATAGTTTAGCCGTAAGATGTGGATCTTGGATCTTCATCTATGTCGCCTTCCACGAATGTAAAGAATCTTTATTTAATGGTGATTATACCATGATACGCCGACATATAAAGAGAGTTCTCCTTATTTCACCTTGATTTATTGTTGGTGTCTTGGTTTTGGCACTATTATACTATCATCGCTCTAGACAAGCACAATATTAATAAGTTATATGATCAACATTGCCTTACAAGCATGTCTACATTGAATTGACTTCTAACTTTTGAAAATCAACCCATTTATAGCATTGTACTTTTACTTTTTGGTTATGTGCACAAAAACTTTAGATAATAGTAAAAGAAATACCCAAATTACCCTCCATGGGCCGTGCTTAGCATGGGCCTAAAAGTTTTCTAGTGTATATATATATATATATATATATATATATATATATATAATATATATATATATATATATATATATATATATATATATATATATATATATATATATATATATATATATATATAATATGGAATCTATTCTAACTCTAAAACTATAATAAACGTTAATATAGAAACTATGATGCTGTCAAATACCATCTCATAGAATTAACCGAAACAATTTAGCCCAAAGAGATCCACTTCATTTTTAGCAAGAATAGAAAAGAGACTACCAATACCTAACCTTCCTAACTTGTTAATTTCGGCACAAGAACCTTCTTCCATTTAACTCAACATAATTTCTTTCAGCACAAGCAAGTCATATTTTCAAAGTTTTGATTTATGTGTGAAACTTGTTGATGGAAACAATAGACTTGAACTAACAATTATAAAAATCAACCAAATGTCAAAAGTTTGTCATGAAAAGTATCATCCCGCATTCCCACTATATCATCACTATGATGCACACACGGATGACCAAACACTCTAGTTAAACTCTATGCGTCTCTAAAGGCTCAATCTAGCTACTCCTATTAAGATAAAAAGCCACAAATTTTTGAATGAATAATCGATAGAACACAATAGTAACGGGCCAAAATTGGTAACTAGGGAAAATCAGTCGCATATTATAAGTATATGATCATAATAGTTTTTAAAAAGAATCAAATTTTATAGTCATATATGTTGAACTTATGAAGTTATAGGTCAAGTGCACATGACATGAAGTTTCATTATTGTTAGTTGTATAAAAATATGATATATTTTATTCAATGGGTATAAATGTAAGTTTACCATGGATCGGATAGGGTTTGGTCAACCAAAAGCATCCTTATAGTATAAGTCAGTTCACGGATCACTTGAGTTTTGCTCCTCCAAAAATATTGGAAAGGAACATCCATCTACCTCATTACACCCCTTGACTTTCCTCAATGTTGCATGTGAAGCCCTCCACCTAGATTCTAAGTATGAAGTGCATTTTTTTGTAAGGATGTTTTGGTAATTCTTGATATCGTCTAATGAATATATCAAAAATTACCAAAATATCCTTACAAAAGCAAAAGCATTCTTTAGTATATGGCATATGCCGCTATCGGCTATCAACATTAAGGTCCGTTTTTCCCATTAAACGTTGTTTGGATAAATCTAGATAAATTGTTATATGGATGAATGAAGTTTATAACTATATGAGACAATGATGACATATTTGGTAAAACTGAAGGAGAATATAAGTGAGAGCTAAACTAAAAAAAAAAAAGTTATCATTTAATTAATATAGGAAACATCGTGATCTTTCTTTTTAAACTAAGAAAAAACGTTATCATGGAGTATATATTTGTCAAAGAATAGTTATGTCGCATTAAGTCTATTAACTAAAAGGAAACATCACATTAAGGCATATGCCCACTAGCAACATCTAACCTCCAAATATGAATACTATAGTACGTTGCATATAATTTGACAATTTATTCCCATAATAAAGATGGATGAGAGAATAGATAGAAAATTTGGTGTGAAACTGATATAACATAGGTTGAATGATTTGGAAATGAAAGACTCCCTCAATCCTAAGAGTTGTTAAATAAAATATGAATGAATGGACAATTTGATCTGCTCGAATCAAATTATAGTTCACTTTGATTTTTTACTATTAGTTATGAAAATTGAATACATTCCAAAATATATAATTTTAACTTTTAAGATCTAAATTTGTTAAGTTTAAATCCACAAATTATTCATTTAATTCCATTTTGGTAAACTTATAAAAGAAATAAAAGTTAGTGTCTTACTTGTAAATTAAAATACATACTAATTATAGCTTTTTATATGACTTCTAATCTAATTTAAAATAATATCAATAAATAATAAATAACTAGATATATTTTAAAATAAAAAAGTTAAATACATAAATAAATAATTATATTTGATTTATTTGAACCGTTTGAGTTTTTTTAATAATTAAATAATAATTCAATTAATCTAAATTAATTCAAATATACAAAATCATACATGTGAATTCAAATCGTCCAATTTTCCCAAGTTATTTCCCGTGGATTGACCTTGTGACAGATTAAAATGGGAATTATGCTTAATTTATTTTTCTATTTGAAAATAATAATTTTATTGTAAAACTAAAAGGGCTGAAGTTATCAATTCATTTATACATGAGGGGCCTTAGTGTATGTAAAGGATCCTTTAAAACTCTGTCACTGCCTCACCCACCAGAGACGCTTCCTTCCTCACTCCTCCTGTCGCCGCCGCCGTGCCACCGGCGCCATCCACCGTCACACTCAAAAAAACACCACCAGTTCTACCTCCCTTCATATTTCTCAGCAAACACGCACTCACGCACATGATCAATTCTCTCCCTGTTTTGTTTTCGTTAACGGTTACACAATTAGCCGGCGAACTCAGATTTTCGTCTCTGTGTTCGCCTCTGTGGTGAATTATACTCTTTGGTTAGGAAATCTACGTTAATTTCCACGAAACAGTAACAGAATCAAGAAATTGCTTGAAGCAGACTCAACTGCTTCATACACTCTCCCTCTGTAAGTTTTTCACATCCCTCGCGTACAAGCACACACATACACACACAAACTGCATTGATCAATTTATGTTCGAATTTATCAATTTAATGTAATTGATCTGCATCGATGAGTATCTTTTGTATATTCATCTTTAGTTCCGCTTAATTTACTCGAGGAATTTATATAGCCTGGTAGTGTTGACGAGCTTCGTGGAATACAAACTTACGCATTACTCTTAGTGATGTATACACAGTCTAAAATGTTAATTTTGCAGGTAATTTCCCTTCTCAGTTTTTGTCACCAACAATTTTTTTAGGGTTTTCACTGTTTCATTGAATTGGCCATTGAAATTACCAGATTCTTTTAGTAATCATGAATTGTGGGTTGAGATTTCTTGTGATGTTTGTAATCGATCAAAAGACAACCCTTAATTTGAACACAATTTCCGTGCTAACTCTCTAGATTGATCTGGATTATGACTTGGTGTAGTTATTATCTAAACAGTGTTGTCGTTTCCCCCTTGTTTTTCATTGAAATTGTTTTTACAGAGTGGTGATTAAGAGGGAAATGAAGGATGTTTTCTTGGGTGGGGAAGTTAGCATCAGCATTCTGGTTACCTTTAAGTCTATATGCCCGTACGAACAAGGATGAGAGCTTGGGTGATGATGAGAATGATCCTCTGTTATGGTCTAAAGAGCTTGAAAAACACGCATTCGGTGAATTCTCATTCGCAGTTGTTCAAGCCAATGAGGTTTTAGAAGATCAAAGTCAGGTAGAGATAGGTCAAAACGCCACCTTCATTGGCGTCTACGATGGCCATGGTGGCCCAGAAGCTTCACGCTACATCTGTGATCACCTTTTCCCTCATCTCATCCGTGAGTCTTCTCCAATCTTCTTTTCCACTTTTCCCCCTTTTTCACTTTCACTTAACTACTTTCTACTTTTCATCACATAAATCTCGATAAAACCTCATACTCTGTGCTTCACAGATTCTACCTAGATTTAATTCAAAAAATATATGTTAATCTAATAGGTCTTACTCAAGAAAACGGATTAAATTTAACATCGTCAAAAAGCCTTAAAGACGCTGTTTCTGCTACTGAAGAGGGGTTTCTCTCTCTAGTGAGAAGAACATGTGGGATAAAGCCATTAATGGCTGCTGTTGGATCTTGCTGTTTAGCTGGACTCATATCTCAAGGCACATTGTACGTTGCTAACATGGGCGATTCTAGAGCTGTGATCGGCCGTTTAAACAAACGCAAATCAAATAAAATTGTATCTGAACAAATCACCGAAGATCATAACGCTTCCATGGATGAAATCAGACAAGAACTTAAATCTGATCATCCAGACGACCCTCATATCGTCGTTATGAAACAAGGCGTCTGGCGTATCAAAGGCATCATTCAGGTTTCGAGAACGATAGGTGACGCGTATTTGAAAAAACCCGAATTTGCCCTCGACCCATCGTTCCCGCGGTTCCATCTTCGCGAACCGATCCGGCGACCCGTTTTGAGAAGCGGGCCGTCGATGCATACCCGAGAGTTAAAACCGGAGGACAAGTTTGTTGTGTTTGCATCGGATGGATTATGGGAACACATGACAAATCAACAAGTTGTGGAGATTGTTCATAATCATCCTCGACAAGTAAGACCTTGTTGACTTTTTTCTGTATTAAGTGGAAAGAGAAATTAGTCAATTACTGATTCGTTTGTATGTGTTTAGGGTATTGCGAGAAGGCTTGTGAAGTTAGCAATGGTGGAAGCTGGTCGGAAAGCAGGGAAGAAGAGGTACGATGAAGTGAAGAAGATGGAGAAAGGGTGTAGACGTGCGATTCACGATGATATAACGGTGGTGGTTGTTTTCATCGATCAACAAAAGATGAATATTGGAATCGATGAGTTATCGATGCGTGGGTTTAATGACTCGACTTCGCCTTCTGGTTTTAGGGCTTTGGGATGAAAAAGATACTCGGTTTTGTGTACTTTTAATCTTTTTTTTTTTTTTTTTTTTTTTTTTTTTGGCAGATGTTAACTCTATTGTTTTTGCATGAATAATAATAATAATATACTAAAAAGTAAAAAGTAAAACCCCACGTATTTTTAAAAATACTCGGTTGTATGAAATATGAATGATGTATTTAGTAAGTTTTTTTTAATGGATAAGGTCCCACAAGCATTAAATCAAACCATAAATAAGTTGTTGAAAAATATACGAGGGTATCACATTTATCTCAAGAGACCATTAGGTAAAGTGTATTATACTATTCAAAACATAACGACCTAAGAGTCTTCTAAATATTGTCTAGGCTTCTTAATCTTCTATAACTCACAAAGTCATGTCCTCACGCTAAAAGGACTCTCGAAGCTCTCATATAGAAAGGTGGTTAATTGAAACCTACTCATGAAATAGCACACAACACATTCACGTATACAAGCTTCCATTTCAAAACTTAAAGAGCTAATAGGTTATATGTTAATCACCACACATGAATCATGTGAGGCGTTTGCAAGGCCTAACACACGTGAATACATTTGAGAATGTCATCTGAAGCTTCAAGAAAATTGGATATCGAAGTTCTTGAAAAGTGTCCAGACCACACAAATCTCAAAACTCATCAAATAATGAATGCACATGATTTGGAACTCAAATTATATATATATATATATATATATATATATATATATATATATATATATATATATATATATATATATATATATATATATATATATATATATATATATATATATATATATATATATAAAACACATTATACATATAGTTCTGAGAGGAAGCAAGGAAACCATACAAGTGACACCGGGTAATATACTGATACTCACCTCAAAAATATACATAGCCTTCCATCCGACTTGCCTAAGTGTAATGAGGATTATTGAACACGTAAACTTCTACTCATTTATACACATAAACCAACATAACATGTCCTTAAGGAAGCAAGGAAAACATATAAGCGACATCGGGACCAATATTTCACAAGATCATATACCCATTTTATGAAAAAGGGAAACATGGGTCATGTGATTTTGGTCATGAAAAGCATATAGTCGTGTGAATGGTCCCAATCAACTCATTATGACCAAAATTTTTGAAAATACTTTCTATTTTGTTATAACCATTTCCAAAACAAATTCTAATGATCTAGGTAGAAGCATATCGTTCAAAACTTTATTTCAACGCTTATTTATATCCATATTAAGATTTCTAATTAGAGTAATACATGATTAAACTAGGTAATTAACATCATTTATAATTTAAAACTTAAATCATTAGTAATAACCATTATATCCAATTCTTTTTTGAGATTTGAACTTAGAACACTAAATCTAACTCCCAATCATATTAGAAATATAAATTCATAGTCAGTTTTGAATTCATATTAATCAAAGGAAGATCCACTATTGTGTGGGCTAAATATTTTCATGCAAGCTCCATAACTTCAAATTTGACCACATTGATAGATTATCTTCTATTGCTTAGACATAGATTATTGAAATCTACATTAAACCGTTGAGTTTAACCAACAATTCAAGATCAGTAGATTTAGAAGGTGGTTGTCCATTGTTGGGAACTTAAAACTTTAAAGTAATATATGTAAAGAATAAGAATATATCTTAAAGGCTTTGACACTTGAATTTGATGATAATATTTGCAATTTCTAATATCTTCTAAATTTCAAATTCTTCTTCGACTTCCAAGCTCTCCTTCATAATATAATTGAAATTAGGGGTGAGCGTGGTCCTAGAACCAGACCGAACCGAGAACTTGTAAAATAAAAATATGAAACCAAAATATATTTTGTATTCAGTTCTGGTTTAATTTTAATTTCAGTATCGGTTCGATTTGGTTTTTCCATTCCATTTGCTCACCCGTACCTAAAACCAAACCAAACCCAAGTTGTGTGAATAGAATATTGTGTTGGAATCCTAAGTCTTGGGGTCCAAACAATCTAATTTATGGAAAGTTTAGTTTATGGCAAGTTGGTCATAAGTTTCCTAGTCTAATACAAGTTGATATGTTAGGCTATATATACGTGTCCATAATCAAGTTTATGATTATGAGAACAGATTGTAAAAACATTGGTTTTGAGTGATTTTCCAATTAATCAAAGAGTTATTTTGGTTATTTGTTTTGCATTCTTGTTTTCAAAACTTTAATTCGTATCAGAGCGAGATGAAGATTGTGCCGGTTTGAGAGTCGGTTTCAAGAAAACCGTAGCCTTTCATTGTGGGGCAGATACAGCGGGAACCGGGTTTGCTTTAAGGGGGTGTGAGTTGTTTTTGAGCGCGAGTTGAAGCATCTCAACAGCAGTCCTAATTTTTCTTTATCTGGCTTGTTCTAAGGTAGAGAGAGACTAACCAGAGGCACATAATAAATGGATGGGAAGACGTCAAAGTGGGTGACTTTGATTTAGTTCATTTTGCGAGTGACGGAAGACTAGTAAAGGTTTCGTGACCTTGTCTTGTTGTTTGGTGGAAAAGTGCTCTTGAAACAAGCTTGATTAAAGAGGTTGGGGTGGTGAAAAGAGATAATAGGATGTTGATCGGGATTGAAGAATTCTCTAGAAGAACTTAGAGATTCGGGGGTGATTGTTGGAATCCTAAGTCTTGGGGTCCAAGAAATCTAATTTATGGAAAGTTTAGTTTATGGCAAGTTGGTCATAAGTTTCCTAGTCTAATACAAGTTGGTATGTTAGGCTATATATACGTGTCCATAATCAAGTTTATGATTATGAGAACAGATTGTAAAAACATTGGTTTTGAGTGATTTTCCAATTAATCAAAGAGTTATTTTGGTTATTTGTTTTGCATTCTTGTTTTCAAAACTTTATATTGAAGTTCGGACTGTTTCGTGTACTCATTTTGGTTTGGTACTGTAACCCATTGAAATTTGTTTTTTTCGGTCCGTTTGCTCAACCCTATTTGAAATTGTCTAAATGAGAGAGAAAAAGAAAGGGAGTTAGGGCTTAAGACTTCTAAACCGTCCTTATTTGTCAAACTATTCCTTCAACTTAATATTTTTACCCAAAGTACCACATCTAGGATTTCCCAAAAAATTCGAATCCTTAAGCTTCTATATTAACCCTCGAACATTAAATATTCTTATAATTAAAGTCTGGTAGGTTAAGTCAAACTACATACCTCAATTTCAAGTTTTAAATTGTCAACAAAACTTCAACTATTAAGACTACAACCCTAACCTTTTAGATGATAATTCCAAATTATTTATAATTATTTAATCAAGAAAGATTTAGTTAAGAATATTTATATATACTAAGTTGAAGTGTTGGTCGTGTTGGATTAATGTGTCTAAGCCCATAACTAAATTGATATAACTTGTAATTAGAAGCAAAATCCTTTTTTGGGTTACCCTCATAGCTAGTAACCGAATAGAATGACATTTGGAGAGAGCGGATGATTTATTAATATATTATATGATTAATATATTAATTTGAAATATTAATAATTAATTAATAAGTAATCATAATTAATTAGGATTTAATTTTGGGTTAATTATAATTAATTAAAGGTGCAAACACTGGACTATAATTGTTCAATAGTTGAACAAGAAGGAATTCGAGAACCTTCAACTAGGGTGGACGGTTTTGGTGATGCCTAAAGTGCATCTGGAATATTCATTCTAAGATAAGGAAACTGGATAACCATCCGAAATTAAAACAATGTTATTTTATTTAGGATTAGGGTTTCCAAGGTTATCTTATCAAGTATAAATAGGACCCCTTGGGTGCCTTGATTTCATCCACCACCTCTCTTTTAGAAGAGCCAAAATTTTACATCTCATTTTCTCTCTTCTTGTGTTCTTGTTGTTATGGTTTGGGTACAAATCATTAGAGACATTAAACTTTTGGTGCTTGCTTCTCAAGTCTATAAGGAATGAATCAACTAACTTGTTTTCTATAACAAGTTTTAAGGTATGTAACTATACTTTGTGATTTTCGAAATTACTAGGGTTCATCATAGTTTTGTTATTCAAAGTATGTTGCCTTAATGTGAAGACATAGATCCTTTTAGGTTGCATGTACGTGCTCAATCTTAATTGTTAAGTGATTTTCTGCTTAAGAATTTTGTTATAATCTAATAAACCCAACAGTGGTATGAGAGCTAATTGGTATGTCTTGCATTGAAAGCACATTAGTTGAACTGAACAAAAAAAATCACAAAATTGTGTTCACAACATGACAATGTATCTATCACGGCATGAATGTGGATAAGCTCTAGAATTTCGGGATTTCGTGCCTAATTTTATTTGTGTGATTTTGTTTGGTAATTATCTGCTTAGATATCTGCTAAAATCCGATTTTGCATGCTTTTGATGATTAAATAAAATCCCTAAGTGTTAGGATGATAACCTTAGACAAGATAATGATTGATTATGAGTTTAATTAATATTATCCCTATGGGTCTAATACTTATTTTAATTAAATGATTAAATAAAAGATAAATATTAAATCCATAAATGACCTAATGATTAACTAATTGATTAAATAATTAATTTTAAATGTTTAAATATTTAATTAAATAATCAATTAATCTAGATAATTATTTTTAAACCTTGTATTTTGAAATTTTCTAAAATACACCTTATATATTATTAAAAGTTTAATTACTATATGTATAAGAAAAGGTCAGCATGATCAATAGTAGGCCTTATTCACGAAACCATGCTATAGAGAGGGTATAAGGAAACAATCTATAAAATGATCATTGAATGAGTGTCATTTTCACCCACCGCTTTCCTGTATATTGGAGGATCCTTAGTTGAACGGGTTCGATAGGACATAATCTCATTAAAATTATAATGATATAAAGTAACAGAATATTTTAAAATCTCACTCTAGTTACTTTAGGAAAAATATGAAATGTATGTTAATCCATGAAAACGCACATCATTATTTATTAGTCGTTAGTAGAGTGTGGGTGGTTAACCGACACATTAATTTGGTACTATAAAGTTGAATGGTGGTACAAATTGTAAATTATCATTATTAATGGAGCATGTGTGGTTTACCGACAAATTAACTCGAGATGATAAATGACATCGAGGTTGTCAAGGCAGTTTGTATGGTTATTCACATCTTATTTGTGATCCTCTGTATTCCAATCACAAATTAAAGAGCATAATATGAGATTAAACATGTCATTGATATGATTTAACGAATTTCAAATGATCTAGGGATTTCATATTAGATTGAAATTGGTGAATTGTTTTACCCACCTTGATAGATTTTTAATTAGATCATGACATTCCTCTTCTTAATTGTGAAATGTATTTTGGATCTTAGCCTTGAATATTAATTTGTGTTAAAAGTATTAAGGTTTTATATCAATTAACTAAAAGTATATTTATCTATAGATATCTAGTTGGTGACTCTACTACTGCTCAAAACTCCACTCAAAGCTCTAACTTGACTCTCTTATCGATTTTGTCAAAACAGAAGCTCATTAGTCCAAACTACATGGACCGTATGAGGAATCTGAAGATGACTCTTCGATATGATAACAATGAATATGTTCTCAAAAAGCCTATTGTTAAATTTATCAATCCATTGCTACTCCTAAAGAAATAGTTGCTTTCAACAAGCATTCTGATGATGCCACTAAAGTTGTTTGCATCATGGTTGCTACCATGATGCCAACACTCCAGAATTTCTATGAGGACTACTACCCCTATGAGATGTGCCTTGACCTTGCTAAAAAGTTTCACAAGAAGGATAGACACAAACGCTATGAAGTGGTCAAGTCTCTTATGGCGTGCGAATTGAAGGATAGAGAATTTGTTTGTGCTCAAGTGAAAAGAATGCAGAGATGCATGGAGAGGTTGGAAAAGCTCAATGTGTTGTTTGACCAAGAGTTATCCATTAATATGGTCCTTAACTCTTTGACTCCTAGTTATGACCAGTTTATATTGCCTTATTATTTGAACAACACGGAGATGAAATCGACCTAACTCCACAGCTTGTTGCATACTTTTGAATCGGGGATGAAGAAAAACCATGTCCTTTTTGCTACAAGTGCTCCTATCCTAGTGTTAAATCATTGTCGTGCATGATTCAAGCAAGTAAAATATCACTTTTGGTTACACTAATGGGTAGCATAGGGAAACATGGTCAAATCCTCAGGGACACAGCCTAATGGCCAATGCCTCGTTGCATAAGGCACATATTAGGCATTAGAACATAAAAATATAAAAAGGGGTTCTGATTATTAACTAAAGATTGAAACTGCAGTGAAATAAACTAAATGAAATCAGTAATAAAAAATTCAGTTCTGCTTCGACTTTCCTAATCATCTAATCAACATGACCTGATTGTTTGAGATGCGCTCTATCTAAACTGGTATTGAGAACAACTAATAAGCTCTGGTACATTCTATTTTACCTAATTAGTTAACCAAAACAAGCTCTTTGAATTAACCCAAACTTTTTATTGTCCTATTAAACAAGCTCTTAATTAAAATCAGAAAAGTTGCATTCAGATATGTGTAGAATTCCAAGCAATATCCAATACTTCTCACAAGCTCGGAAGCATAAAGATATGATTTTTCAGTTTGTATCAAAGTCAACATGGAACCAATCTGATACTTGTTACTTATTACCAGTTTACTTGAACAATTACATATTCTATTAACTGATTAACTATAATGATTAAACCATAATTAGGTGATCTAGCTAAGAAGAATCAAAATCAAATATTCATTAAGTGCAAAACTGGAAAATCTAGATAGATTCACAAATAAAAAAACCAAGTCTATTGATTGATTACATGAAAAGTAATAATATATGTAGAACTGAAACTAGGGTTTAGCCAAACATGGCTAAAATATGATAAAAAATAGTAAATTGAAAGATTAAACTACTGAATCTTACTAAACTAATTGAGATACATGATTTACAGTCTTTAGATCTTCAGAAATCGTTGAGATCGGAGAGAAATCGCCTCATAAATCGTCTTTTTCGTCGTCTGGAGCTTCAAGAATTTACTAGGGTTCAAACTGATCAGAGGGGCGTATTTATATGCAAGTTAGAAACTTCAAAAAGATTGCATTATTGCTATCGCATTTTTTCGAAAATTTTCCAGATTTGTCGTTTAATGAAGTACACTACTATTTTTTTTTAACTTTTTGGAACCTCAAAGTGGAAATGCAATAGCAGAAATGGGAAAATGCGATCGCATTTTTTGATTTTTTTTCTCATATTTTTTTGATACAACAAAACTTTGACACATTTATGCTATCACACATATGGAAAAATGCCATCGCATTTTTCCTTTTTGTCATGATTCAGTCGTAATTTTTCCATTTGAACAGCTTCCAGTCATTCCTCAACATCTTCTTTAGTTCCAACCCCAGAAGGCTCTAATGCTTCATTAAACGCATCTAAAGATGCTTCCAAAATCCCCACTCCACTTGAATGATTAGAAATTTACATAAAAATGCTAGCAATATGGGAATTCTAAGTAAAGACATGTGTTGAACATTATTTAAACTATTGGCATGAAAATATGTAAAATATGATACTAAATGATAATAAAACTACCCTAAAAGATGCATAAAATGGAATATATCAAAGCTCCCCAAGTTTGAACCTTACTTTCCCTCAAGTAATAAAAAGATTAAACATTATAACTAAAATGGAAAGACATAGATTACATAAAAAGAACTTAGAATAAAAACTAAATAACTTGAACAAAAAACTTCACTTTTTTTCACATGATCATACTTAACATCGAGGGAAGCTCCAATAGAATCAATACCTAGATGATCGTCACAATCTCTTCCATCTTTCACAGATTCCCAAAGTCGGTAGGAAGCTTGACAGTGTGAACCAATAAACCAATTGTAACATTTATTTAAACTTTATACCTTAATTAGCCTTGCAAGAGAAATTATCATATTTCAGAATAACATGTCCTCAAGACTAGATAATTAAGAACCAGACTCGACGCATCCTTAAGAACCCGACACGGCCAAACACTACGAGAAACAACCCTTTAATGACGCGCAAACAATGAAACTTGCTAATAGAGGACGCACATTGGTGTGTGCCCTAAAAAATAATGTCAATTTTGCAAAATTTGAAGGATAGTGGACACGCATTTGTGCGTGCCCTAATATTAGTGTCAAAAAACAAAAAAAAGAAATGCGGAGGGCGCCTTTCATAAAATGCGTGTCCTCTAAATGTGTCGCTTTATATTTTTTTCCTAAACGCGCGTTTTTAAAGGGGGAAAACAAAATCGTCTGAAATTATAAAATTTTGAAGAACCCTGCTTCTACCCTCTCTCCTTAGTATCTCCCTTTTCATTCACTCCTTCCTTCTCTCTATAAACCATAAGCCATCGCCACTGCCACTGCCATTGAACCTTAAAAAGTCAATACATACTAGAATCCTACAATAGAACCCTAATAATCCTTTTGAATCGGCTCGTCTTCCTTTACCTCTGCACACACACACACACACACACACACACTCTCTCTCTCTCTCTGCAAGCCCTAAGTTGCCACCACCAACATCGAACCCCATAAGCTTTAATAGTTTGGAGTGCATCTAGAAACCTAAGCTTACACTTCTGCCATCTTAAGATATCGGTTCAAGATCAGAATGCCATGTCGTAGTCTACAATGCCATCATCGTCTCCACAAACTGCCGTCAATGGCTGAGAAAACGAATGTGATTGGGTTTAGAATGAAATCAAAGCCGAAGCTCTCCATCAACCTAAGCACACACTTCTGCCTTCTCCTCCAACCCATCTCTCCTCTCCGCCACCGTCGTTGACCTACGCGCCGCCCGTCAAGGAGACCCATATGATCCCTCTCCTTCTTGGTTCACTCCCAAAAGGTACATTCTTCACATGTCTTCTCTCACAAAAAAAATTTCTTCTTTCTTTCTTCAGTTTGACGTCCCTGAAACTTCAAGGCTTCAATCAGGTTTCATTATCTTCTCCTTATATAATGATTTCTTGTTTTTGTTTCTTCTACATTCTACCCTAGCTCTAGAGCAACTTTTTTGGTGTGGAATGGACAGTGTGTTGCTGTATTGGCATGATATGCTTATGATGGTGGGCCTTTATGGGGATCTGATTCGCTATCTTTATGATGAACCCATTATCCTTATCCCAGAGTGTGATGGAGCTAGGATATTGTCTAACTTAAACATGGAGTTTCTTCAACGAGTCCCATCTTCTACTGAATCTATCTTTAAGATTGGGAGCACAGAACCAACAACTTTATTGTATGATGCTTTGGATCATTTTGATAGGATGAATGCAAAGGTAGGGTGTGACTTTGATCTTTGAATTAGACTTTACATTTCTTTCTTTCCTTCTAACTTCCAATATCAATTTATTCCATTCCAGAATGATGAAAATTTGAGGCTGATAAAAACATCGTTGCCTGAGGCTATTAAAGTCTTTAGATGCTGCAAGACATGAGTTTGATCATTTTGATATGAGGAATGCAAAGGTAGGGTGTCACGTGCTCCTCATACTTACAGCCCACCTTCAAGAAAATCAAGACCTAAAGATGTAAGTCATTCCCATTCACTTTTCATGATCAAATGACCTTTTTACCCCTATTTATGCACACACGGTTGATAGATGACCAACATGTCGAATTATTAAACCACTTATAACTTTTTAATCCTTTTATATAAAACTAACATTATATATTTATATATTTCTTTTCATTTCACCTTTATTAGCATTCAGCTTATGAGGAGCCTGTTATAGAAATATTAGAGGACTGGTAAAATTTTCCATTTATTTTTTTTATATATTTTATAATCTGGTACATTTGATGTAATCAGTTATCCAGTTCCTGTATTTAAGGTATGCTTGATAATGTTGAAGTTGAAGAGGATCATGAGCGTGTGTGTGTGTTGATGATCTCTTGTTATTCATAAATAGAGGAGATGAAGGTAAAAAGATTATACTCTTTTCCTTTTTGCCCTTGGTTTTATAAATAATAACATATATACTAAACAATCTTATAGGGACTGACTTAATGATGCCAACATTTGGTGCTGTCAGTTCTTGAAAAATGTAAGCATCTTTCAGCATTTAAGTTTTCCATATCTCAAAGGATTAAATCATTAAATACACATAATTACATAAGGTTTGGTTAAATATATTAACAGTTTGGTTGGCTCTTAGATAATAGATACCTACCTGCTTGATACATGAGTAAACTAGTTTCTAAACATGATGAGATAGCTGATTGTAAATTTGTCGTGCCAGATAAGATAATTTTCTGGAAAGTAGTAGATACTCTGAATCCTATGGGATCTAGACAAACTGAAAAAATGTTTACCTAACATATACATATCTTAATCACTCATACTACTATGTTGGGATTTGAATTTATTTACATCTTGAAAGGTCAAAAAAAATTTATCACTCATAGTAAATGAATAACACGTCTAATCTAGTTATCGTTAATCCTTTTTGGATCTGAAAGTGATATGTTGAAATACTGAGATTACTACTACTGGATGTAGCTTTAGTAATTGAACTCATTGTAATTTATTGTCCTATATATACAACAAGTTTCCCTTGTTCTTAATGCTTCATGTCGCTTCCGATACATATTGGACTTCAGAAAGAATGAAGAGCAAGAAAAAGGAGCAGGATAATCAGGTCACATGCTAAACTCATAAGGGTAATTTTTTCCGTAAATTTGTTTATATAGCTTCCCAATCCCAAGTTTGGTTATATATTAGTTAACATCTGATCACCTTCTGTTAGGCTGCATTACTATTCAAATTGGCTGGAGAACATGCAGTTGGTATTTGGTCCCTTAAGTTCCCTTATGATATAAATATAATCTTTTCTTATGTTGAGATACTACATTCTACATATAATTAATTTCCTTCTATTTCCCCTTCATATATATAGTGCTTGGGCCCAATGCAATTCCTGCATCTCCAAGTTGTTGTTATGGTATTTCACTCGAGCAACTTGTTTCCATGACCAGGGACCATAATCTAACTTCTATTCATCAATATGGAAGGACAAGTTACTTAGCTTATCAAACATATTTTTCCTTCACTATCAAAACTCAAAACCTCTTTGTATATACATCTATACCTATATATATTTTCAGGTGCAAGGGTTATCTGAGATGTTGAAACCAATCTGGACAGAGGAGTACAAAGACATGAAGATGAATTAAGAAACATGAGAAATGCCTTTGGATCTAACACTTATCCTGTGAAAAAAGGAAGAAGCTTCTTTGTATGTTATATCTCTACAACAATTATTTCTTCTTCGATCTTATTTACAACTGTAGCTGACCATGGGTATTTTAATTATGTTGACCACAGATGTTCCTTTGGGAAGCTTGGCAAGATTTGACACTTATTATATTGATCGTAGCTGCTGCAGCATCACTTGTGCTAGGAATAAAGATAGAGGCAAGTTTTAAATCATACTTTCTCATATATTTAGTCATTCAGGAGTTTGTGACCATATTATGACTCCTATTTGTTCCAGTTTTCTTAAAAGGCTTGAGGTTTCCTTGTGTAGGGTATTGAAGAAGGATGGTATGATGGAGGAAGCATCACCTTTGATGTTCTTTTGGTTATTTTTTGTGACAGGTGAGGCATCTGTTTTTATTTTTCCAGTGGTTATGATATTTAAAATGTACTTTCTCATATATTACCGTGTTCTGTGAACTATAATAGCAACAAGTAATTATAGATAGTCCCTACAGTTTCAGAATCTAAATACGGAAAAGAGAAATATACAGATAGATGTTTGTGTGTTATTTTAATGAGTAAGATATTGTTTTTATTATTATTCTACCTTTAGTTGTGTCTTCTTAACATATGCAAATTGAAGCAATTATTAATCCACAGTAAGTCCATGGACTGATTGTTATGCTTATAATGTGTTTTTGGATTGTCATGTAGGTAGCATCTCAGCTTCTGGTTAATTTGGTGTATTATTTTGGCAGGTTGATCCTGCTACATGACCAATAATGATCTCTAGGGTCTGCTAGAAGGATTGGAGATTACAGTTAACCTATATGGCCAATAATGAACTAGTTTAACTATTATTTATTGATGACTTTCATCTCTTTCACATTTGATGTATTACATTTATCTACTATTGGAATGATTGTTTGTATGACATTAACTTTTGTGCAATGGATTGTATTTTTTTTGTATATGGTATCTTATTTTCTATTATGAGACATGAAATGTAAATTTAATTTGAAAATTAATAAATCTATAAATCATTTTTTTTAAATTTAAAATTACGATACGCAAAAATGTGTGTCATCTTCATTTATGACATGGCCTTTCTTGACAGCAGCTTTAATGATACGCATTGCATGTCATAAATGTGCGTCATCTCTAGATGACGCGCAAAAGCGCGTCGTCTCTCGTTATGACAGTGCCTTCCTTTACGCGCATTTGTGCGTCGTCTGAGCGTTTTACGACACACAATAAGCGTCGTAAAAGGCTATTTTTCTAGTAGTGAAATCAACTTTCTTCGAAGCAGTCAACCTCGTGTAGGGATCAGAGCACTATGCTTCCACTTTTTGTGAGAACGACAAATATCATATCTATAAGAGTTGTTGATTTTCCCTTAAAAATATAGGTTGTATATTAATGGTATATATAGTACACAAATACAACAGAGCTTAACTAACTAGCCATACAAATAGAGATGTAAAAATTAAATCAAATCTAATTTAATTATATTGAATTATCTGTAATACCCCCTTTAAGCTGAGAGGAGGAGGTCCAACACGAAGCTTGGCACGAAAAATCTCAAACGAAGATCGTTGAAGACTCTTAGTGAAGATATCGACTAGTTGTAAATGAGTGGGAATGTATCGGGTGATTAGCTTGCCTAACGCAACAAGTTCACGAACAAAGTGATAATCTATGTGAATGTGTTTGGCTCGCTTATGAGAGATTGGATTTTGAATGAGAAATAAGGCACTCTTATTATCACATAGAAGAGTAGGTACAGAAGAAGGGACAACATGAAGATCACGAAGCAAGTTGGTAACCCAAACAATTTCAGCAGCTGTATTTGCCATTGCACGATAATCCGATTCACAACTAGAACGAGAAATGGTGGTTTGTTTCTTGGCACTCCAAGAAACAAGGTTTCCACCAAGAAAAAAGGAGTATCCATAGGTAGATCGTCGAGTTTCAATGCATCTGGCCCAATCAGCATCAAAGTATCCAAGCAATGAAGATGTTTTTGGATGTTGAAAGTGCAAACCATAGGAAATAGTACTCTTGACATATTGTAGTGAAAGACCCACACTTTCATACTAAATACAATTGTTACACCAAGCTATTCCAAAACATGCTACTTTCATATTCATAAATAATATTTTTCATTGATAATTTTGTTACATAAGATTGGATACAAACCGTCTATTACAAAGTGTTATATATTACATAACTTCCCAGGATACTATAGTTTTATACATACGGGAGTACAATCTAAAATAGTTTCAAACTATCCAGAATCTTCTATCAGTATATGACTATACTGGATGCTTATCTCCTGCAAGTGTTAGGCATTGAGAGGGTAAGCGGTGACACTTAGTGAGTTCAATAATAGATACAATATAATGTTATGTCATATATATACTTAAATATGGAAGAAACAAAGAGGAACAAGGAACAATAAAGGCATATTTGAATCATGCGACAAACTTTCCATATCAATCAACGATTTGATTCAAAAATATACAATCAATGAGACATAACAATTTTCATACTTGATATACATCAATAACACTTCGATCCAAATGAAGCAGATGACATACACTTTCTGATTTAAACATTTTGGTAGATTTCAGGCTTTTAACCCTATCTAACCTTGTGCCAATGCCTTAGGGGTAAAAGTTATTCTCTTGCGAGACATGCTCTACACGGCCAGAGGCTACATACCTTAACCCAAGTGATGCTTATGTCATACACTTCGTGGCCAAATGTACAACTTTGCTATCAAAATGGCGGAAATAATAACACGAGATGATACCACATAAAAGCACATAGCGCATATAATACATAACATACAAATGTTCCTATGTATTGAACTCACCGTGAATTAAATGGGGGTTAAAATAGTAATTTGTGCAGCACTTCGTTATAATAGATAAATTTCTTCGCTGAAAACTGGGAGCTTTATTGAAAATCAGGCCCTGCAAGGGTTGAGCTTCAAACCAAAAAAGATAAATTTCTTGGGCTCTTCAGGCACTTTGGGATGTGTTTCGGGTGTAGGGAATGATCCCAGGGCTTCGGGGGAAGTTAAAATAGTAAAAATAT